TACGGCAGTGATGTAAAATTGCTGCTGTTTTTAAAAAACCGCAAATTTTCCAGTACTCCGTTCATTCCGTTGTTCAAGTTTAAGCAACAGTTATCGACTTTAAATGTATTACCGCGAAAATCTTTAAAAAAAAAAAATATATGACTAAAAAAATTTTAAAATAGAACGACAAGCACTTTTAAAGCGCTCATTTGAGACTACTTGAAAATGACGAACAGGCCAGAAAAGATCAACGCTTGATTGTCAACTGGCAAAAATAACTGCTAATTACGAAGCACCCTACCGAAGCTTAAGTGGTCATTGACGTTTACTTCTATTGGTTTCGCTCGACATTTGGTATTTACCAAAAAAGAAACAACCGTCCTGTGTCTAGAAAACTTTAGAAAGCCACTCTGTACTGTAGATTTATATTTGGTTACCCACCCCAAAAAACTGGCGGCACTGACGCTTTTGGATCTCTCTAAGCACCATTTCGTCTAAATGGGAAAATAATTCTGTAACTCTGTTTTACATCAATTCGATAACTGTTGCTCATATCGCCCTAATAAATTTTTTTTCATGATAAATTCAGAAACCGAGAATTACGTGTAGGTGCTGTACCCATGCAAAAAAGGTTCTGCGACACACAATTTTGAGTTTTAACACCATTTTAAAAAGTTGTACACTGGTGTCATTCTGGAGACCCTTTATTTTATTTTGGAAACGGCTATTCCTGTCCCTTCGCTGAATGTAACCAATTAAGTACTTTTCACTCTGATAATTAGTGCCATAGTGATGTTGTTATAAACTGGAGAATATCCTGTTTAGTAGCTTCAAATGTCGTAAGAGAGCCTAAAGAAATCGAAAGAGTGAAAATATTCCCTCATCTGTTTTGTTTACAACATTTCCCTGGAAGCACTGAAGCAGCAGTTGGAGAAGGATTGTTAAAAAAACTAGGAGGTCTGAAATGGGTGGAAATTCGCTAAACGAGTGATACACATAAAAACTATATCGAGGGCTGATGAAGTGTAGAAATTTTAAGGTATCAAATGCGTGTCTTGCCTAACTGATTCCGCACTTCAGAATACAAACTGTTTTAAACGCTTCTGTGACTACGTATTTCTATAACAAATCAACTATCAAAGCCCACGCCAGATAATCCAGGTTACTGCACAAAATTATAATGCATTAATGATCAACTGACTCCATCATAAAACGAAAGAGAAATAAAACTGAGATTCTTCCACCGTAAATTGTGGAACGATCTAATTTACTTTTGAAAAAGCTTTTGCTTCTCTTCCAAACATAGGTGAGAACTTTGCAATAAAACATTAAAGCCAAATCTGAGCCACAGTTTTCAAACCTCGATTGGAACTACCCTAAAGATCTCACTTTCGTTGCGTGTTCATCCGACAGCTCTCCTCTATAAGTTATAGATGTTGGGCTTCAACAAGGATTTAATAAAACGATTAGCCATTTTTGCTTCTATACTAAAACAGAAATATACTCTTTAATTTAATTAAGACAGAGAGGTCTGGATTTATTATCCAACGATGGAGAAGTACGAAGCAAAGCTCAGAGAAAAGCCAGTAACAAAACGAAAGTTAAAATAAAAGAAAGTTACTATAAAACCGTAAGAAAAACCATATAACCAAACCAACACTTGAATTTTAGAGAACTAAAATCAGTTTCTTTTTAATAAACTTTTAATTTAAAATAAATAGTGCGGCTTCAAGGAAATTTTTTACTTGCTTCAAGCCCTTTCCTTTTCTTACGCTTTAATGACATTTATTCACCAATAATTTAACTTTAATTAACCACTTGATATTCAACATTTTAAAAAAATCAAAAGGCTAGAAGGTTGAATTTCAGCATTTAAAAAACAAAAACAACAACCAGTTTTTGTATCATCCCGGTGAAACACAAATAGAGGAAAAGAATTAATCATTCAGCAGATCGAATATCAACGAAAAAGAGCAAAAGATAAAGTTGACAAGATATACGTTGAAGTTTCTCACAACTTTTTCGGTATTTATTATAAAAATATTAATGAGATTTCTAACAAAAAAAATTTATGCTAATGAAGGTAAATAAAAAAAACAGGAAAATGAGTACACACCAGAAAAGGACAACTCATTGATAGCAGCAACAGGGTTTTAACAATAATCAATTTCACGTCCCTTCGCAGTGCGTAATTCAGCCCTTCTAAAAAGTGGTTTTAATACAATTAAACAGCACGATTCTATAATCTTTTTAAACAAACGTTTGGACCTACCCAGAAGGAAAAAGCGATAGCAAGCGAGATAAAAATTAACAACGGTTATGCAGAAAGATACTGCCGTACAAAACGGATGTCCTGTTTTGCTTCAATTGAACAGAAAGAATCTTCAGAAAGTCTGGTAAAATCACAACTAACTTTGCTATCAAAATACTTAAAAATATTTTAGCCATTGGGTAACACTAACACATCAAAATCGAAGAAACTGTTAATCAGCCCTGTCGAATACAGAAATCTATATAACAGTCGTCAAAAGGCTTCAAAACTATTGAAGACCGTTGACCTTTCAGTCCAACAATAATCTAAAGTTATTGCCAAAAGCAGAAACTTTCAAACAGCATCACAACTTCCTGCACTAATGTCACCATTTCCACATACTACCTATGCCACTCAAATTACAATAAAAATAGCCTCTCTACAAAACTTAAGTCTTGACTAAAACTTATTTTGAAAAATCTATTATATTATGCAATTTCCTTTCTGATTAGATTCTTCATCAACAGCAAGCGCACATCAGTAATTACAAAAGTGGGTTTTGTTAAGACCAAAATATGCAGAAAAAAATAAGATGAAAAAAAAAAAATAAATGAGAGAATTTAAAAGAAGTCTTGGAATAATATAATAGTTATCAAATATTAACAAATCATAAAATGAGCATAATCATGCACTCTAAAATAGATTTCTGTTTTGAAGTAATAATTCACCATGAAAATAAACCACACTTCCTTCAGCTAATGCCAGCTGATGAGAACAAGGATGTGTATTATTACAGTTTTTAGCGAATATGAAATGTTGACCAATGAATATGTAACTAGTGCAGAGATTGAAAAAAAAATGACTACGCTACAACTGGAATTTCAATAGTGTTCATAAATGACTGTTGCCTCGTCCAGAAAATAACCTAAAACTTCAAAGTTGATGCATAAACTACGTGTAGGTGGGAGAACAGAAGCTGCGTAAAATATTCAGTAAGCATAAAAAATCAAAAACTGAAATTCTATCACCAAACTTGACTATCAAAATCACGTATACTGTTCCGTCAGCGCTATCCAATACATCATTTCAACAGTAACTTACAATAATTATAGACTAGGACACGCATGCACTCATCAACCGGCAGATACTCCTCTCAATAAAAGAATCACTTTCTATCACCCCTCTTGACAGCAGTCAACACTCACAAAAATCTAGCTACGCGTTCCGCAACATAATAGAGTTAATTTTCAAGTAAATCCCACAGCTAAACCTCAATGCCAATGAAAACATCCCAAAAGCCAAAAACTTTCCCCAAAAACTTAGCACGTCAAAAAAACTGACCCAGGCACAAGTCAAACACGGAATGACCACTAACTGCAATTCAACGCTTAAGAACTGGAGCCGGAAATCACCTGAGACAAAGACTAAAAGCCCCCTCACCAACCTATAAATCCAGCAGATTTATCGTTGAGCCTACATCTTACTTTAAAAGTCACTGAACCATAAAAATGTCGTAAGCTAAATCGAACAAAGCAGCAGCAAGTCACTTATATTTATATGCTTTAGATACAAATGAAAAATAATGATTTTAGTGTTCCAAACAACTATTACAGACGCGTTTATCCTCAAACAGTGAATACGGTCACTTCAATTCAAATACCAACCAAATCACCGAAAATTTGTAATTACAAGAACAATAGGTTCTCGTACCCATTCCCAAGAACTTAAGCAATGTCATACAAGTGTGTAGCTTCATTAGGAATTGATAAACAACTCAATATAATCAAAAGACGCAGCATAACATTCAACTAAAAAAAACAGAAGTAAAACTTGCATACAACAGCAGAATCTTCAATAGCAAGCAACTTTATTCTGAAAAAGCTCAAAGGTGAAGGATGGGCGCTATTCATGTTCATGTTCCAATTTTCAAAACTTTATGGAAGTCTGAATAGATGTAGCCTTTAAATTGAAAAAGAAAGATTTGATGCTGGAAGGGTTTCGTTCATTTGTGATCCACGTTACCACGCAGGATCCAAATGGGTCGGGAAGTAAACCCTGTAGAACGCGGATACCTATTCACAAACTGGCATACAACTTTCCAAATCTACGGCTTTAAAAAGTGCGAAGAACATATCCCACCTGTAAGTACTTTGAAAGAAAAGCTTACAGAACACTTAAATCCCAAGACATACAATAAGACACAAATATGCTGACCACAACAGTTTTGAAGATGCCGGAATATGGCATTGGGTCTCTCCAAAACAGCTATAACAAAGAGAAAACAATAACGCAATAAAAACTTGTATTACAGCAACCATCAAATGAAGTCCACCTGGCCAGCGATCACAGAGAATTACAACATGGTCTCTTCGTTTGCGGTTCCGTAGTTGGCGAAATAACAATACCATTAGATCCTGCAGGCGACATCGGGTTTCTACTGTCGCCACCGACATGCTTAACTGATACCGATCGGTATATCTGAAAGTTTTTAACTGCAAACAACACCGCTAAATATGCATCCTGTATCTTTTCAACAATCACTGCAGCTTCGATCACAGAGTTAACTTGAATTAACGTGTTGGCAAACTACTAAAAGATTCACAAAATTCTAATAATTAAAGATTTAATAACTCATGAAATACCTCAGTAAGTATATTTGTGAAAGCGGTCTCAACATTCGTACTATCTAGGGCAGAAGTTTCAATGAAAGATAATTGGTTTTTTTCTGCGTATGCTTTTGCCTCATCAGTAGGTACTGCCCGAAGATGACGCAAATCACTTTTATTTCCAACTAGCATAATAACGATGTTCTGATCGGCATGATCACGTAGTTCCTAAAATTGTCAAAATCTCTTACCGGTGCAAAATGAATTTTATTGTAATAAAAGAAGCACCTTTAGCCATCTTTCAACATCCTCATATGTAACATGTTTCGCAATGTCGTAAACTAGAAGTGCACCCACAGCACCCCTGTAATATGCTGAAGTAATAGCGCGATAACGCTCCTGCCCAGCTGTGTCCCATATCTGTGCTTTGACAGTTTTGCCCTCAACCTGAAAAACTCCTGTAATTGAAAAAAAAATATCGTAGCAGATTACCTACAGGAGAACGGAATTATTTCATTGAACCCAGTGAGTTATGAAAAAGTCATCCCTCTACAACGCTATAAAGAGCTATAAGCACTGTAAAACAATTCATAAAATCTGAGTTGACTGTAAGGTAATTATCAATGAACTGCAAAAAAAGATCCCTACGCATCCGCTTAAGTTAAAATAAAGAAATTTTAAAATTAACAGTATGTCACAAACGAGCCAGAAGAAAGGAAAGTATAAATGAGAACAGGGAACCTGGATGCTTCTAGTGGCGAATTCTACTCCGATAGTAGACTTTGATTCCAAGTTAAATTCATTGCGAGTAAACCGTGAAAGGAGATTTGATTTCCCGACACCAGAGTCCCCAATAAGTACCACTGAAACAATAGACCATCAAGCATCCTTCAACTTCACCAAAATGGATGATCTGACTATATCTCTTCGCCATATTTTTATATCATTTACAATGCTCATCTCCAGAAAAATAATAAACAAAGACACTTTTTCAAAGAGAAGAAATCATGACACTGAACATACAACTTAGGTCGGAAAAACTATATGTTTACGTGTTCCAAATAAACAAACGCTCACCCCTCTCAAAACTAGAATCATATATAAAAATCTAGATCCAAACTGCAATTTAAAAATTTTTCAAGACAAATCTTATTGTATCATTCCATTTAACACAAACTAATGAAACCAAAAAGAATAAATAAATGTTGACTGCCAATTAACAGGCCTGACGATACTAAGAAGCAAGTAATTAGGATTCGGAAATTCAAGAAAAAATATGATCACAAGACGAAACCGCTACCTTTAAACAAATAGTCGTACTCATCATCGCGAGACCCCATACTGAATGAACACTGAAAACAATACTGATAATACCACTGTTGTTATCATTCGGCTGCTACCGTAACAATCAACAAAACGCCATAAAAATAATTATTGTTACTGCAGCAGCTTAAATAAACCGTCTAGAGTTGATTTATAAGCTTAATGTGATTATTGCTACATCAGCACCTCACAAACTGTTTGATTTACAAATAAAATACAGATGTACAAGATCCCATACTCATAATACTCAAAATATTCAGTACGCCTCGTGTTCGCCAGCATAACAGAAAGACTAGTATCATAGATTTCAAAAAACCGTCGCTAAAATAACCAGGAGTGTACGCAACGAGCCACAGAAAAAAAAAAAACAGAAGAAGAAAAGAAATTGATTTTTGCATCAGAACAGCAAGTGACAAAATAAAAAATTCACAAAATGCGAGAAAAAACTGTGACAACAAAGATATCATTTTTGCTATTCAAGGTAAAAGAGACAGAGGAAGGACGAAGAGAAGAAAAGATAGAGAAGTGGAGGGCTTTCGGAAAAAACTGATACAAAAGAACGATTAACATACGAAAAAAATAAAGACAAAGCCTAAGTTGCGGCCTAAATAAAACCGTACACATCTCCGCCATCAAAACAACCCGTAATCGCCACCTCTGCACCATCTTTCACACCCTTATTCCTTCCTTGTTGCTCGCTTCCCATCGATTCTTCTTATCCAACGACAACAACAACAAAATGCCAACCAGTAAATTCGACAACCACTTCCATACACAGGTCCCTCAAATAACATTCCCGACTGTCCAAATTTCAAAACTACCATCTGCACCAATTGCCACAACTCAGTTGAACGCCAGACCTTGATATGTAAAAAAATAAAAGTAGACAAAATCATTGCCACTGCCTTTTGGCACTCATAATTGACACTAAACCTCTGACATTTCTAAACCCATGGTAGTCCTCAAATAATGCGGTTCAAAGTAAATGATCACCAATGACACGCGCACATGAACAAGAAGAATATGGGCAAAATGAACAACAGATCAAATAAATTAAAAAATGATAGCACGCATGGTATTTACGGAAAACGAGCGAGAAAAAACCTAATGTAACCGCGATTTCCCATACAGCAAAGGCCAACTTCATTGCCAATCACCAAGCTGCCCACAGGTCTAGACAACAAAAAAGTGAAAGGCTAAAAACAAGCAGTACAAAAGACAAGTGAAAGTACCGTTTACAGGCAACCTGAACTTACCTTTCAGAGCAAAATAAGAAAGCACCACTTCCGAAGAGAAAAATGTAACGAAATGAAAATAACCAGAACAAGAAATCCGCCTTCGAACAAAGCTTATGCTTTCACCTGACTGTCCAAAAGACTGAAAGAAGAATCCTCACCGCTAGCTCTGTTCTTTTTAAGTAACGGTGATATTCACTATATCATCATTTTTTCAAATACTCACTCACCTCTTACTCCAATCAAGAACTTTTCCTGGAATTACCTTCAACACTTACTTCGAGCAGTAAAAAAAATTGGTTTAAAATTCTATTACTTTTCGCCACGTGCTTTCATAAATGTTATTGGCCAACGAAGACATATTTCACCGGGAACCATATATTGAAGTTCTATCACGGGAAAACCACGGTATAAAACCAAAGCCAAATGCGTCGTTTCACTAAACCAGAATTTATATAGAATAAGCAATGTCTAAATGCCTCTACAGTTCGCTGAAATTGACTCCTATGTACTGCTTCAGTTACCAAAAAAAATTTTAATCTTACAAACCTTTAACAGTCTCCAAATTCCTACTAGTTTTACCAAGACTAAGTTAGAAGATGATACGACAAATTTAAATGTTGCAAAGTAATTCCAAAACTGAAAAGCATTTCCAAAAATTAAAACCATTTGACAGCCGGGTCAAAATCAGATGCCTGTGCGAAAACAAGTTTTCGGAATCAAAGAAACTCAATATGCCGTAAACATTTCAGATGAGTGCAATACCACTAGGCACAGTTTTTTCCAACTGTATCTAAATTGCGATTATCCCTCTTCTAATTAGTTTCTTTAACAACACCTACTTGACTTTTGGTAAATAATGATTCAAGGTTTCTTCTTGCAAAAAGTTCCAAGAAAAAAGAAGATCCAGTAGGAGTTGCAAAATGACCGCTAATGAAAGAAGACTTAACAACAACCCGGTATTTTAAGCAAATCAGCCAGATAAATGCCAGACCTTAAGTTAAACTAAGTTTAGCTCAAAGTAATCGATGCAATCAAAGGAAACTAAGGTGAAAGTAAAAGTGCCATAATCTTTGAAAAATATATCCCAAATTATAACTGCAGTGAATGTACGATTGCCTTTGTTCTTTAGAGATACGCCCTGGAACAAAAATCTCTTTTCAAAAATATTTTCTAGTCATCCACACAAAAAGACAAACTTTTACGAAACAACTATTGTTCTTACAAAAACCAAAAAAAAGCACTTTCCTTCATGAGGAGACAGGAAACTAACGCTTTTCGTCTTAACTTCTCTGAAAGTAAAATAATTTTTTTTCTTTCAACATTTGACTTACGTCAAATAACTACCATATCAACCATGACCATTACGCACATCCAGTTCTTAGACTTTGTAGTAACTTTGGTGAATATTCATTTACTGTTGTCAGGAAAAAAACGCAGTAGTTCTTGCAAGCTAACAAATTCAGCGAACGTCCGACTGCTTAAAACATTTGGTGGGCCACATAATAAAACAACTTTGTCATTAACGTTTTCTTAGACCACTTCTCTACAAAAATTACCAAAAGCTTATCCACCTTACTGAAGGACTTGAGGAGAAAATTGTGCTAGGAGAGATCTATCACACAAAATCCAATCAGTCTCCAACGAAAAAAAAGTAGAATCAAGATAAAGCCTAATATTTTCTTCCTGCAGAAAAGCACACTGGTACTATAAATTAAAGAAAATTTAAAAACCGAATATCTCGGGAACTATATGGCAGCAGACTAGTATCCGTAATCAAAATTTCTTTAAACTGTTTGACAAATTCCACATGTAATCACAGGCAATCCAGCTTTGACATGTTCGCCCTCTAAATACTAACAATTCAAACAATGGTAAGATAAAAAAGAAATGAAACAGAAAATTCCTTACCAACCATATACCCGTACCAGACATTGCAAGTAGGAAATTTAATGCATTAGAAGGCTTACGACGAAGAAGAAACGAATGACCGGTAAGGCACCTTAGACGAAAATCTATAGGCATATACACGCATACATATGTATACATAAAAATACAAAGGGTACCCAGCGGTTTGCTAAAGCCAAATCAAAGTGCGTGATGAAGCGATGAGCAACACAGGCACAGTTAAAACGTTGCATAATGCCACATTTCGACGACAATAAACATTATTGAACAATGTAGCAGAATCCTATCCAAAAACAAACTTTCAACTCATGCGTCTAAAGCAAAAAAAAAGAAAAAAAAAATTTAGATTCAAATACGTATTTAAACTTTTACAATAAATAAAAATGCCCTAATATTACTCGAGAAATAAATAAGGAAAAAAACAAAAAAGAAAATAAGTATCACTTTCCAGTTTATGCAGTACTAAACAGTGTCCTAACCTGTACCATACAGAGATGTTCTAAAACTTTTTCGCTTCTTTGACTTGGTTTACGCCTGAAAAGAAACAAGTCGCTGTCATGCAACTAGACGCAGTTGCTATTTACATAAATTTATTTCAAACACACGTATACAAACACGGGAAAGCGTAAATTCTTTTCTCTTAAGGACAAGTCAGAGGCGAAAATAAAAAAAAATAAAGCATTAATCTTCAATACAACAAAAAAAATTCCTTTTGATATACGCCAAGGAAAAAGAGAGTTGACCCTCAGCGCGTTAAGACAGAAGACATAAAGAATAAAAAGCATTAAAAAACTGTAAAGACGTATACAGCAAAAAGATATATATACATGTCGAAAATATAAAAAATAATAGCACCCATCTTCCGTTAATCCCAAGCACAATAACAGACTTAGAGCCTTGATGAAGAACTAGAAAACTCTCGACCAAAACTGAATTCTAAAAAGTAATGACACAATCCAGAGGCACAGACACAGTGTACTCGTGTAAGGAAACTATACAGTGAACTAGAATCGAGATGGGGAGAAAACGGGGCCAGACGAGCACAAAACGCACACATCATATGTGATGTAAACGGTTGCGCGGAACTCTCAGAGCGATAAGTAAACTTTAATTACAGTATCCGTCAATATGTTCTTAAAATATGAAAATTTTTTATTTTTAGTATCTCTAATACAACCAAACTTTCAGAAATACCGATTTGTTGCTTTTTTTTCTGGTATACTATCCTAA